CAGCAGCCTTGGCGCCTGTCTCTGCAAATTTTCCGACGGAAAAATCTCGCTAAGCTCAATCGGTTGAGGCGGTCTGGATGCGGCATGGACAATTCGTCACGATCTCAATTCTCACTTCTGGATGGTGGCTAGATTAGAGTACATACGCGGACCAGGATTTTGGAAATTTTCAGAAAATGTTTCACGGGATTTGCCATGTAGACCCTATGCATGAACCAAGTTGATCGTGTAGACCAGCACTTTTGTCCGGAGAGCCAGACTCTTCTGGACCTAAATACTCTTTTCCTGACAACCATGGAAGACTTTCATGTGTACACAGTCTATGCGCATGCATACAAAAAACAACAACCGCCGGCACAAACACGCCAATATGTGCACACGTGCTCGTGAAACTAATTACATGCATCCGATGGCTTGTGGTTGCGACTTCTTTGCCAGCAAATCGCTTGCAGCAAGCCAGGCAGTGCTGGCGTGGCAAGCGAGTATCTGCCGCCTGCCTTTCAATGGGATGCCTGAACTGGCCAAGCTACACCGGCTCTCCGATCCGCTGGGGCAGTAGGACTAATCTTTCTGGACTGGCAATAATTTTCAGACAATAGCCCCACTTCTGCTGGACGTATGCACACTGTGGGTCAAATGAACATATGAATACGGATTAAGCAAGACAGCATATAATTTCCAGACGCCAATGGCCGCGTCTAGGGGGTTTATTCGCTGCTGGACGCACAGCATTCATTTGATGTCCGTGCCAGATTGGCCTGACTAGCGAAACCGGTTCCTCCATCCCAGACAGGCCATGAGATCGTGATGGTCTCCGAGGTGTAAGTAGGCTTGGTTGAATTGGGTCAGGTGTATATACGTCGATATCACAAATCACCCTAAACCATGACGTGGGTGACGGACGGCAGTCGGACTACCGATCGACTGGTCCCAGTTTAGAACATAGAAACGAATTCATTGAAGGTTGCATGTATGCCCTATCGGTCTGTCATCATTAAGACGATGATACATTTCACTATTTTATGCCTGCATTGTGCTAGAAAAAAACATCACTCACCAAGACCAAGCGCCAATCCGGATAGGAAAAAGATTTGGCAACGAAACCGCATGCTGCCTTAATTAATCAAGACCAGTCGACCTGCGATATGGGCATGGATGATTTCTTTCA